GTGCTGGCTTCTTTGAACCGCGAGGCCTCCTGATGCTGTGCGGGCAGCTGCACGGTCTCTGGAGCTGGGGCGCAGGCTTCTCCAGGAAGGCAGGGTGGGTGAGACGTCATGCCCTGGGTGTCCGAGGCAGTGGAAGAGGGCTGCTTGTTCTCCGCACATCCTTCCTCTCCAGCTGGAGGGTCACAGGGCATCGTCTCAGAGTCGTGGAGAGCTCTATGTCTCTCCCCATCAGGCTGTTCTGTGGGAGAGGATGGCGGACCCGTCACCCTGGCTGCTATGGGTGGTGTCTGCACCTTTCCCTGGATTGTTTCTTGAGAAGGAAACTCACAGGACACTTGAGCGTTGCTGCCCCCACAGGTGACTCCTGCAGGACAGCTTGACTTCTCAAGTCGCTCTCCTTGTGAGGTTCTCTGAGGTTTCCCCAGAGAATCTTTAGGTGCTGATGAAGGGCTGGCATTAGACAGGTCTCCGGGGACGGTCTGGTGGCTGTGCGGATGGGCTGGCATTATGGAGGGTGTGTGTACAACACCATCACCTGCTGAAGAACTCAGGGCTGATGCCGTGGGCTCGCTGCTTCCCGCCAGCTGGGGGTTGCCAGGAGAGGTGAGTGTGGGAGACACCTTCTCCACCTCCTTGAAGACAGGGGAAGACATATCTGGCCTGGTGGGCTCATGCTGGCAAGCCTGCATCAGGGCCTCTGCAGGTGCCCTGGGGCTGAGGTCTGGTTCTGCAGGGGTGCTGGAAAGGCCATTGGAGTTCTTACACAGAAGAGCTGGTGGATGCGGAGGGGAGGCGGCTTGTGGCTCTCCCAGGGCCTCTTTTCCAGGAGCTGTGATCAGGGAGGTTTTGGCTGATCTCAGAGGGTCAGGTACAGTCCCCATGGAATTTCTCTTCAGGAACACCTCAGAGTTCTCCCTTGAGTTGCTTTCCTGCTGGGAAGCAGTCGCAGCTCAGAGTGAAGCCACAGTCAGGCACCAGGCAGCCTGCGACAGAGGAAACAGGACTGTTACTGTGGTACACCATGTAAGGATCGAAAAATATTCCCAAATGTTTCTGTTGTAAATGTTCATAGCACATTAAACCTTTTCATCGTGTGTGAAAACAGACCTTGGGAAGAAAGATTTTGAAAAAAAAATTAATGACACATATATTATTTTGCCTCCAACTGCTGTCTAGCAAATAGGCTTGAAATGTATCTACTGGTTTGATAACTACTTCAGCTCATTTGTACAGTCTCGTTTCCTAGATAGCAAAAAAATTCTATAAAGCTGTCATTAAATCAGGAAGTATTGAAACAGACATAAATAGATATGGGAAACAGAACAGCTAGAAAGAGATCCAAATAGAAATGATTTATTTAATATATGACAAGAGAGGCATTTCAATTTAGAGGCAAAAGATTACCTTATTTAATACCAGGGTCTGGCAAAGTGTTTATTCATCTGGAAGAAAAGAAACCTGGATCTTTATCTTACACCAATTCCAAAAATGTCTTAGCGGGATTAGAGGTTAAAGTGTAAAATAAATAATGAGATCAATAACAATCCCATAAGAAAATCTAGGAACCACTTATATAATCTACCGGCAGGAGAGGTAGTCTTCCCTTAACAAGGCAAACATTATAAGGGAGAACATGAATATAGATGATTTGATAAAATTCACAATGTTTGCACACCAAAGATACCAAAACAAATACAATAGATTTGAAAAAAAAAAAAACGTTTGCAATTCTAGGGGACAGGTTAAAATATCTGTGATACAGGAACTCTTGAAAAGTTTACATGGAACCCAAGTAACTGGGTAGAAAAATGGATAGACTATGAAAACACAGTTTACCCGACAGGAAACCCAAATATGCAAGAAGCTTATGAAAAGGTAATCAAATTCATTTGCAGTCAAATAAATGCAAATAAAGTTACAATGTGATTTTACTTCACACCAGTTGTACTTGCAAAAACATAAAAAAAGAAAGACTTAAAACACCACAGCCTGAGGAGACACAGTGAAAGGAAGTTTCTTATTTTAAAATTGTCAGAGGGCACATGCATTCACCAGAGAGAGACAGAGAATGAGAGAAAGCACCCCCAGTGAGGTGTGGTCACATCGCAATCCCTTCTCCTCCATTTCTCCATTCTGTCAGGTTTTGGGGCACACATACACACACTCTTGGTGTATTTTTAAAGCTCTAGGGGCTAGGATTCAAACAAATGTCAGCCATGGGGGAGCGTGAGAAGGGGGGGTTTAACTCCTTTGATCACTAGGCCATAGGGCTGGCCTAAAGGAAAATATTTCTATTAATTAGTGAAAATCTGCATCGTTATACCTTTTGTAGGGAAGCAATTCAGTTCTTTAAACATACAAAGAAAATAAAAGAAAGAAAAAATAAACATACGTGTCCATAACCCAATGATACCAACTCTTATCAATAGAAATAAAAAACACCAGCATATATGGATACAGGTATATTTAGTAGAATACTACTTATAGAGGCACAAACTAGAAGCAAACAGATCCTCATGAATGGCAGAATGGGTAAATCAAGGCATAGCTCTACTGTAGAGTATTACACAAGCATTCGAGTATGTGGCTAATTAGGTTATAACTTTTCACCTTGGGACGAGTCCTTGTGGTTGGAGGAAAAACAAGGCACAGAAAAGTGCACCTACATTTTTGTTTTTATAAAACAGTGACCTAAAACATTCCACACACACGTTTGTACACACACAGATACATAACTTGTACAATTATAGAAATTCTAAAAATATTTAGAAGGAGACATATTAGCTATTAAATGGAGGGAGAATGATGAGTTGGAAACAGGGAAGATGGAGGTACTCAAAGGCGGGGAAGGGTTGAATTTTTAAAAACTAGATTTGATATGATCTAGAACACGCTCCAGGGTAAAACTATATGTATGTACTCGTGGATAAACAGTTTTTAGAAAAGATAATGACATACTAGGTCATGTGAACAAAGCAATGGCTCAGAGGTTAGTGGCTAACTATCTCTCTCTCTATAACATATATATTAACTCACATATATAATATATATTCATATTTATATTATATATTGGTATATATAATATACATTAATTTAGTTCTTTAAACATAAAAAATATGCATTTAAAAAAATTTGCTATAGGTTGTGTGTGCTCACTGGAGAGACGGTGCAAGAAGGAATGTGAGAAAGCACCCCTCAAGGATGAAGGCTATTCTGAGCCTCTTCTCCTTCAGTCTCCTCTGTTGGATTTTGGGCACATGCCCTTGGTGTGTGTTTCAAGCCACTAGTTCCGGTACTCGAACTGCACAGTTGGTCATGTGGTGGTTAAGCTGCCTTAACCCCCAAGCCACCAGCTAGCCCTGTTTTAATATTTAACTAATAGGCTGTATCACCCCAGGCTAATCACTTAATCTTCCTGGACCCTAAATTAGCTCATTGGCAAAATGAATTACATGATTTCTAGGGACCCTTGCAGCTCCACAATTCAAGGATCCTATTTCTTTGCATGTGATGGATAATTTATCAAATAGCACAGTCTTCCCTCAGGCTACAAAGTGTCAAAATAAGGCAAAATCAAATCTGGGAGCCCAGGTTTGAAAAATATACAATGTTATCTTTCGCTTCAATATAATTGGGCTGAAATCTAACAGTGAATTTATTTTCTCCTCTAAATTAGCTCTTCTTTCTAGCTTCACTTTTTTTTTTTAACCCCTTCAGTCCCCGGCTCTGGGTTTATGTTCTATTTTCTCCTGTTTTCTGTTGGAATTGCTTGCTGTGCTCCAACTGTCCTCCCCTCTCCTTCTGCATCAGTGTTTGTTATACCGTTTCTCCCACTGTCCACCCTCCTCATCCTCAAAAGCCTGCCCATTCTTGAAGGCCCCACTTAAATCACATTTCCTTTCTCAAGTCCTCTAAAGCTTTCAAATCACAAAGTGTGTCTCTTCAAAAACTCCTACAGGTTGGTCATCTGTGTTCTTCGTGCTGAGCTTTTCACGTGCAGTTTTTGTACCATTGTTACTTGTATAAATGCCTCATTTCTCCAAAAATACTTCAGACCCTGAGAGCGATGGGGAGAAGCTTACTATTTTTTTTCTGTTCATACCACGAGACACAATCCAAGGTCTCCTAAATAGAGAGCTATTAACTGAGCCTAGCATGTGGTATGGAGGTTAAGGCCCTGGATCTCACATGGCTGACTGCACAGTTCGAGTCCCAGACCTGGAGGCTTCAAAATCACTCCAGGTTCAGGTGCATGTGTGCCCCAAATTGTAAGCAGACTGCAGAAGAAGAAAATGCAGCATGGCCATCCCCACTGGGGGTGATTTCTCACTTTCTCTCTCTCTCTCTCTTGCTCTCTCTCTGCCTCTCTCTGGCAAGTGCGCGCACCTTATAGTAAAAAAACTAAAAAGAAAATCGTTAATCTAATTTCCCTCCAAAATGGCCCCTTCTAACATCTTGCCACGCTTCAGACTCAGGAAATTTTAACCCATAGCATGGATATGAATAAAAACACTAATGTCAGGGGCCAGCAGGTGGTATGAAGGTTAAAGCTATCCATGTGGATTCCAACATGGCCGCCGACCCTAGTTTGACTCCTGGACCTGGTGGCTTCTTTTCTCACTTTCTCTTTCTCTTTCTCTCAACTCTCTCTGGTGAGTACAGGGGCTCTGTAGCAAATTGAAATAATAATAATAAATAAAACTAAATCACTAATAATTGAAAAATCACAGTAAAAAAGAGTGTTGTTTTGGGAAGTAAGAAAATGATGGTATCTTATTTATTAAGCTTTATGCATCCATAGTCCAGGTTTAGACAATTTAAACCAAGAGCACTAGACACCTGCTATGAAAAGCTGGAAGGTCTCATAAAGTCAGGGGTTCAGAATGTGTCCTGTGTGATGAGGCTGGAAACAAGAAACCTGGTTTGCCAAAGGGGGCTGTAAAATATGAAAACAGCTCAAGGTTCAGTACAGTTAAGTTCAGTAAAGTTGAAGACATAGATGAAGATGACTTCACAAAACTCTCAGAAGTCATTTTCCATGCAAGGCTGATTTGATTAGCTAAACTTTGGAAGGGTATTTTCGTTCATTCACTTTGTTAATAGAGGCAAAATTATCCATCAGGTCAAAAAACAAGAAGAAAGGCCCAGATTGCTTGGATAACACTCGAAACTCAGAATCTCTTGATTTTTATTATTAGAGAAGAAATCAATGCTACTCTCAAATATGAGGAGTGTACATAATATAAAAAACTATGAATAGATTTCAATTTTTTTTGCACCAAAATAAACTCATACTTTAATTTCATTTTTGCACAAACTTTCCAAAGTCCCCTATATCTGCTATTAAAATTGTCACAATATCTTCGTGAGCCCAGGAGAGACTTGCTCAAGCTCTAAGACAACTCCCCCATTCTCCCCACTCCCTCACCCAATGGTGGAAGTCTATAGTCTCTAACAGAGCAAATAGGATCGTTTCAAAGTGTAATTACTCGGTGGGTGAGGGTGAGGAGTATTGTATATGTCTTTATCTTTAACTAGGGATCATTAAGATAAGATTTCTTAACTTCTAAAACTAAAGTTAGGAACAGGTGGCTCCCAGAATGAATGAATCCCTTCTGCAGAGTGTGTAGGTGTGAGTGCGTGAATGTGTGAGTTCTGGATGGTTTTCCCGTCTGTTTCCTCTCCCCTTCTCATCTCTGTCTTCTCTTTCCTTTTTTTTATCCTCCCTCTCTTCTATTTCCCTCTACCCTCTGTTTATCTTCTTTTCTGGTTCCTTTTCTTTTGAATTGAAGAGATTGTTCATAAAACGCTAGATTTTTCGCTTGCTATTATATTTAAAAGTTGGAAGGCTTGCATTTCCAGATGGCAACCACTAGGTGGTGCAAAGAAGGGCCATCCCTTTGATGGGCATAAGCTCTCCAAGCCGCCCTGCTTTATTCTTCCACTTAACTTTGAATCCTGTGTGCAGCTGAGAGAGTCAACT